GCAGACAAAAAACACAAAGAAATGATATATGTAAAAGACTTACACACACACACACACACACACACACACACACACACACATATATATATATATATATATATATATATATATATATATATATATATGTATACAATTTCTGTTGAAATTCAAGTTTATTGTTTAAATCTTTTACCTATTTCATTTCTTTGTTTTTTTTGTCTTCGATTTTGTAATTAATTAACTTATTAATCGATTAATTAATTAATGACATTTTGGTTTGGTTTTATTTAAATTGAAAAAACGGTTTAATTTATTTATTTTTTTCTATCAAAAGTGTGTTTTTTTTCTTGTTTATGACGTCATCATCGTCAAGGTGAATTCGAACCGGTTATAAAGACTATTTTATATTATTATCAAAAAAATTATCATCTATTTATTCCATTATATATTATATATATACTATGTATATATATACTATGTATATGTATGTATATATAACTATATATTACCTATATGTAACTATATTACGTATGTATATATAGCTATGTATTATGTATATATAGCTATATATCATGTATATGTATTTATATATATGTTGTTCATATGTTTCTGTTTCTATTTATGAATCACCTATCTATTTTTGGTAGTATTAAAATTTTTACATTTCAAATTTTTGAGGGCAAAATTATCTTTTACATATTTTTTTTAAGTTCTCTATTAGATGGTTCTATACGTTCGTTCGTTCGTTCACTCGCATCTTAAAAACATCATCGCTATTACATTAGGACATCTTCAGATGATCACAAAGTTTACTCTCCAACGTCACATCACTATATGCAGTCATCGTCGTCACCACATTTCTATATTGCCATGTAACACATCCATGTCATCACATTTTAATACCGTAATAATGTCGTCTTTACTTCGCTAATCACATAATTAAATTATCATAAAACCTCTCATCATCTCATTATAAGGCTTTTACGCACTCACTTTACCATAACGTAATGTAATTTTACTTGATGGCGGTTACCATGATTACACTTCTCACATTTCATCACGTAACTCTCTCGCGTCATTTGCATTGCATCATTTAACGTCATCGTATCACATCAACTTACACTCATATCATCGTTACAATACCAACATTACTGTAATTTCACATCCTTTTAAAATTGTATGATCATCCAACTCCGTATCTTCTTATAGCTGACATCACTCACATTTTACCATTTTAAATCACCATACCTATCACTATCGCTTTAAAATATCATCATATATCATCACATTAAATCACCATATGATTCATATGATCACATTTTAAATCACCATCATCATATTAAATCACCATATGATTCATATGATCACATTTTAAATCACCATACCCTATCACTATCACTTCATCATCATATATCATCATAAAACATCATCATATATCATCATATTGATGTCCGGGTTTAAAATTTTTTAAATTTGTTGATTTTTTGGATGAGTGAGGAAGGCTAAGGAAAATTCAAAAAATTTGATAGAATTTCACTTTTTTACTACTACATGTACACTTCGAAAGCCATCTAGTCCAAATTCTCCTTCATTTATTACTTGCTTGTGTTATTCCTATTGTATTTCAAAATTAGCGATGCAGAATTCAACATCTATATTTAAATAATTGAATAACTAAATAATTATATTCATTTATAATTAATAAATAAATAAATAAATAAATATATATATATATATTTATAATTATTAAATATATATATATATATTCATTTTTTATACACACCTTGTTTGAGAAATTTATAATTCATGATCATATGATACATTTAACATTATTCAATTCAATTACTTCTTTGATTTAATTATTAACTTGAAACATTTTTTAAAAATTTTCAAAACAACAATAATCATTTTAATCCATTATATATATATACATACATACATACATATATATATATATAATTGTGTGATAATGATGATAATACAGTTAAATTTAGTTGCATAAATGATGATGATGATGCTACAACGCCTATGATGATGATAATAATTATTATTATAATACATAATAATTATCATCATTATTATTATAATTATTATGTATTACGTTTAACTTACCAGTGCTTAATTTAATTTATTTAAATTAAACTCTGGTGTTCTCCTCCTAGTATTGTCATTATCGATTATAATAGTTTCATTACATAGTACTACTCAATAATCAATCACACACACACACACACACACACACACACACACACACACATATATATATAATATATATATATATATATATATATATTAGCACTTATATATATATATATATATATTTATATATATATATATATGTTGGAAGGAGAGCATATTTCATAGAGTATTGTATGACTTATACCAAAGTGTTGGCATAAATAATAATAATGATATCATCATGATATATTATAAATTAATATATATAGATATATATATATATATTTACATATATATATATATATATATATATATATATATATATATATATATATATATATGTAAATTGATCACATATAGCCGGTGAATAATGAATATAATATATCATGATGATGACTTGAACCCAAACGTTTTGTGTTCAAATGCAAGCGTTTGATGGATTTACTAACGATAAAAAATTGCTTAAAAATTGGTTTTAGTATATTATATATATATGTATATATATATATATATATATATAATTTCCGTAACCCTTTTTAGTTATTGTAGCTTTTAGAAGCTAAACACAAAATAATTAAATGAATGATTGGTTTCTTTATCATTGTTGATAATTATGGTATAAAAAAGAATAATAATATTGTTTTTATTATAATTGTTATTATATAATGTGTCATGCATAGAGGTTCATTTATTCATTCATTCATTCTTTTGTTTTGAAATAAATGAGATGGAAGTTTATCATTGAGCGTAATTGAAATTGTTCGTTTCTTTTATTTAGTTTGTAAAATAACGAATTAGTTTGTAAATTTATAATTTCGTGCAATTATAAAGTATTATAATTAATAATTATGGATTCATAATTTTGTGTAGTAACTAATTAAATGAATAACTGAATGGATAACCAATAGCAAAATCGATGAACGATTTACATAAGTTAAGGGGTAATTAGCATAATATATGTAAATTAATTCCGAAGATAATGTTAATCAAACAACCGGCCTATCAATCCATCTGATAAACAGTAGATTTTATCAATCAATTAATTATTCAAACAATCATTCAGTCAATCAATCAATTAAATATCATTTAAATCAATAAATCCTTCAATCAATCATCTATCAATCATCTTCTTATCAACCAACTAATTTATCCATGTACCAATCGAACCAACCGAATAAACAACCCAGTATGTTTAGAAATTGAATAATTTGACTAATTTGAATTCACTTTCATCGTAAAAACCACATAAACTTGTATCATTATCGTTACTATATTGATACAATTATTCATATATCACTTATACAATTATTATTTTTATCACTTTACTAATAACGAAAGCTAAATAGCATTGCAATTGCTAATAGCATTCAAACTACATAAAATGAACGAATGAGTGAAGCGAGGAAAACAGAAAAAAAATAACTGAAAACAGAAACATGAAAAAAATTTTTTACTATAAATAAATTGACCAATGATAAGTGACCAATTGATTAGCAATCGAATAAACAGGTCAACCAAATATCTTAGTCAAAGGTTACTTTATACCTTGAAAGGTTAAGCCACAATTTCAGCTTCAGAAATTTCAAACCATTCAACATATACGCCACTCATATTACGTTAATAATTATGTGACGGAGGCTTGTAACCGGGCAGTGGCTGTAGAAATGAAAAAAACAAATTAATCAATTAAGGAATATAACAACAACAACAACACACGTTTAGACGACATTTTCCCCGAGATTGGGGGTTGCCGTTTGGCTACCTATGATGAAACCGAAATACCCCTGTCACTCGCCTCAGTACCACGCAACCCCGTTTTCACTTTGTCCTTCTCCACCTGCTCTCTCCATCCCAGTCGCGGACGACCCCTTCCTATCACTCGTTCAACCTCGAACTCCAACACTAGCCTAATCCCGACCCTTTCATCCCTTCTCAACACACGTCCATACCACCAAGGAATATAATGGATCAATTAATTAATTAATTTAATTATGAAAATTTCTAAAGAGGAGAGAGAATTTCAATTAAATGACAGGAAAATAAATGGATCATTAGTGGAACGAATATGTAAGAGTTTCACAAAAAAAACACTATAGAATCTATGGTAACACTTTTTATTAGAAAATACAATTTAACAAAAGATACATACACACTGATCTATTCATTCATTCACTCATTTATTTCTTTTTTCGTACTTGATTAAACTATCAATTCTGTAAAACAAAACTAGACAGAGAATCAGGTTATGGGTCAAAGGTCACTTATCAGTTTGACCCGCAAAATAATGAACGATAGCCAACTTAACTTACCATTATTCCACCGTACACCTGGTCGACCTCGCCGTAGTCCAAATAGTTTACCAACATGATAGGCGAGCAGCTTATGATCTGGGCTCTGTAGAACTGTGTGTTTGTGTGTGTGTGTGTGAGTCTCTCTCTATCTCTCTTTCCCTCTCTTTCTCTCTCTCTCCCTCTTTCTCTCTCTCTTTCTCTCTCTCTCTCTCTCTCTCTCTCTCTCTCTCTCTCTCTCTCTCTCTCTCTGTGTATGCGTGTGTGCGTGCGCGCGTGATATATAGTTACATTATTATTGTTGCTATGTGTGTTTTCCATATTCTTTATTTGAAAAATATCAATAAATAATTTATTGTTATAATAGCCACATATTATTATGATATAATAATAATATTATTATTATCATATTTTATTATTATATATATATAATTTTCTATCATCATAATCATCATCAGCACCTTTCCGTCTTTCCATTTCGACATGCATACATCTCCTGGCTTCATACTCTTGAATAAATGATAATTATATAAAATAATAAATATAGATTATAATTATATAAAATAATAAATATAAATAATAATTATAAGTACGCAAATAAAAAAAACATTCAAATGTATAGTATAAATGATGATAAGATGTATCAATTGTTTGTATTTGCCCATACCTTATAATCATTAATATGAACTTCTGAGAACATTTGTTGTTGTTGGCTAATTTGTGGTTGTTGTTGGTTAATTTGTGGTTGTTGTTGTTGGTTAATTTGTGGTTGTTGCTGGTGTTGTAGTCTTTGTTGATGTTGCGGTAGACTGAGTTGTTGTTGTTGTTGTTGTTGAAACTGATTTTGTAGCTGAAAATGTGGTAGTTGTTGTTGTTGAAAATGTGGCCGTTGTCGATCGTGACGCTTGTTATTTGCACTTTCATCTTTAGTAATGACATTGGTAGTAGCTTTACTGTCTGATACATTCTCACCACTACTATCAACATTATTATTATTATTATTTATATTTTTGTTTCTCTTGTTATAATCACTGCTCTTATTCTGAATATAACAAGAAGAAGCATTTTTGCTCTCAGGATATTTGTTTCTGGATTTCAGCGTTGATAGAGAAGATGACGACGACGATGATGGTGATGGTTGTGATGATGATAATGATGATGGTGTTGGCTGTGATGTTGATGACGGTGGTGGTGGCTGAGATGATGATAATGATGCCGATGATTTTTCAGCTTTTCTGGGAACGTAATACTTTATCTCATTTCTAGGACTGGATTGATATTTGTTGTTGCTGCTGCTGTTGTTGTATGTTTTGTTGTAGTGTGGAGAAGCTTTTGTAGCTGTTGTGGCTGCTGTTGTGGCTGCCGATGATGTTGCTACTGATGATGATAGTTTTGTGGCTTCAGATGACGATGTTGTTGTTGCTGCAGCTGATGATGATGTCGTTGCTACTGAGTATGGCGATGATGATGTTGTAGTCGTTGCTACTAATGTTGTAGTTGTTGCTACTAATGTTGACGGTGTTATTACTACAGCTTCCTTTGTTGTTGTCGTCGTTTTATTCGAATCAACAACTCTATCAAGTAGTGGTCTTGAAAATCTGTTTTCTGATTGGTTCTTTTGTTGATAATTTCTTGATGTCTGCTGATGTTGTTGTTGATGTTGTTGTTGTTGTTGCTGTTGTTGCTGCTGACGGCCATTATCTTCAGAATTGCTTGTATTGTTATTATTTTTTTCGTAACTACTCTTCCGGTTAAAATTATTTCTATCATTCTTGTATCTATTATCATCATTTGATCTTTCATTATAATCATAATTATCTTTATTTTTGTTATTATTATTATTATTATTATTATACCTAGTATTATTATTATTATTATTGTTATTATTATTACTGTTATTGAATTTACTATAGTCATAATTTTTTTTGCCACTGTAATCATCTCTGCCACTCTTATTTTTACTATTGCTATCCATTTTATTTTTATTATTTTTATTATAGTTATTATTATTATTTTTGTTGTTGTTGTTGTTGTTATCTTCAACCTGATTGGCTACCAAATGATTGACTGCTTTTTGGACATCGCCTTTAGAAACAGAAAGTGCCTGGATGGCGTTCTCAAGGGAAAAACCCATGTCCACAATTGAGGCTAATTTCTCGTCTGAATTGTCCTGCGTGTGCGTGCGTTAGTACGTGTGTGTATGTGTATGTGTGTTGCATGAGTATTTGAACTTGTGTTTGTGTGTGTTTGTTTGATATATTGCTGGTTAGAACGTCGTTGTAGTTGTAAAAGCTGCTATTAATGTTCTCCCATTTAAAATGCTATTATACTATATTACCTGCTGACACATACGCACGCACACAAACAAACAAACAAACACACACACGCACACACACACACGTATACAATATAACCGAACGACATTTAAGAAAATAATATTTATCAATAAAATTACATCCAACAAAATAATCAAACACGATAATTATGAATCACTATAAATAATTATGAATAAATATAAAAAATTATGAATAATTATAAAAAATTATAAATAATTTAAATAATTACGAATAATAAGTACTTGTGGGTTCTTTTTAGCACTCCTGTCAGCCATGACGGCTTCAATGTTTGCCTTTCTCTGCATGCCAAATGCATCAACTGCATTCTTTTTTGACGGTTCTTTTGCAGTTGAAGACTGGATTGACTTGAAATTATCTGTATTTATGCGTGTGTGTGTGTGTTTGTGTGTGTATGTGTGTACGTGCGTATATGTATTTGTGAATGTACGTGATTGTGAGTGTCTGTGTGTACATACACATGTGTGTACATATCTGGGCTTTATAATAACAACAACAAGAAATAATAGTTATAATTACAAAATAATTAAATAATTATTTAAGAAATTGAAAAAACTGACCGCCAGATGACCTAGTAGAATAGCCTTCATACCTACTACTGGATTTCTTCATCTGTTCAAAAGGTACAAATGGTGGTGGCCCATCCTCGCCTACGTTTCCTCTCGTTAATGTGGCCAGCGACTGCACGGCGGTATGTTATGTATTGCATTGTGTTGTGTATTTTTTGTATTCGCTGCGTCTGTATTTTATCATGTTTATGTACTGCATTTGTTGGTATTACGTTGTATTGTAATAAAAAGCGAAAAACATTTTTGTAATAATTGTATGGTATTTATCGCAGTATCACATTTATCATTGTATTGAATTGTATTTAATTGTACTATTATTTTTTATGGTAGATTGAAACTTTGTACCAGATACCAGATCACAATGCATTCTCATATTATTGAAATATAAATGATTTAGGAATAATTTAATAAAGTTTCATTAATAAATTAAACCCAAAATTTTGGTAACAAACTTGCTTCATCTCCCAGTTGTCAATTAACTTTTCAACCCGCCCACCTAGAACAGATGAGTTATTATTAGAAAGCAACAAAAATCCCTGCAAAAATGGGACTTTCTCGGTTAGTTTCAGTTTCGATCCTGGAGCTATGCTAGGACTGTTGGACGGGGAATCCAAATTCATCTAATCACTCATTTGATTTATTATTACAATTCCTTGATACAAAAATATAAAAATTTATCACACACTAATATTTAAAATTTAAAAACTGGATAAAATGAGAGTGTAATAACAAAAACCTTATCAAAATCCCACTAAACATTGAAACACACAACAACATGTGTGTGTGTGTCTGTGTATGTGCGTCTCTGTGGGTGTATGTGTGTGTGTAGTATTATTATTACAAACTTGAAATTATGAATTCTATCGATATTTATGGCTAGAATGGTTGCAGTGCCATCTGTGAGGACAATTCTCATCAGACAATCGTCTGAGTTGTTTCTGCTCGAAGTGATGTCAATAGCTTTGGGGACTTGAACATTTTTCACTTTCTGGACCTGCAAAACCAAAGGTCCTTCTATCTGAATTAGGTGAATTGGGTAAATTATATGGAATTATTTTTTTATTTTGTAAGAATTTAGGTAAAATTAATCATTTTTGTAGAAGTTAGATGAATTTAACTTTCATTTTATTAAAATTTAGGTGGATTAATTTATTAATTGGATAAATAAATAATTGAATTGAATTAATTAATATTTAAGAACACCACTAACAAAGTCCATTTTACTCCTTAATGCATTGTCAGGCAGACATTTATCTCCAATGTCCTTCAAATCATTCTGAAAATGTTTATGTCAGAAACAAAATGTCACTTTCTTACATTTATAATATGAATTCATGGTCATTATGTTATATCTCAATTATTTATAATAGAATAGAAGACCATTGTAGTTTGTGAAAAAAGCATTACACATTTCTTATGGTCTTACTTACTAAATTTGTAAATTATCTTGAAGTTAAGTCTTTTAAAACAACTCAACTAATTAATTAATTAATTGTACCTAATTTTAATTTTAACACCCCACCACCTCTACTAACGTTTAAGGCTTCTTTGATAAATGTCTCACAGTTGTCTTTACTACAGATTTCTTTCAGCTCTTCAAAACCACTTTCCGATAAATGCCTGATTTTTCAAGAGAATTAATTTCAAAAATACGGAAAAATAAAAAAACTGGATGATGGTGGTGTATTTGTTTGTATCTTTGTATGCTGTATGTATGGGATCATCATATTTTTAAATTTATTTTTTTTTAATTTAAAAGACAAGACAGCAGCAACAAAATTAGTGTATTTTATGGTGCATAAAAAACAAACCATCCTCTTGTCTTCAATTCACTTCTCAGATCCATTAATTATTTTAAATAATTTATTTGGAAAAAAGTGACCAATTTCGCTACGAACAAAAACCAGCAACTAAAAGTAAAAGTAAACTTAAAATCATTACGAAGGACGGTGCGCTGTGCCAAAGATGGATTTTGATAACTTAGTGGCACCATGTAGGTGATATGCTAATGGATCTGCTAATTATTCCTTAATTATTCCATTGCAAAATTATATTGAACTGCTCTTCAAGGAAAAATAATTATTAATAACTCAGTTTGCGTGAGTTATTAATAACTTGTCGCAATTTCTGAACATGGGAGTGATAGCGGCCAAACGTCTATAAAAGCGCTGGGAAGGTCCCGTCAACAGGCTCAGAAATTCAGTTCAGGAATTGTTGTCGTCGCTAGAATTATCGTGGAGTCTCGGAAGTTGAAGTGGTAGATTCGTGAACCGACGATTTGTGAAATATATATGTATATATTTAATTAATTGTTTAGAGATATTGACTAATAACGTTGTTTAATTAATTAATTAGAGATATTGACTAATAACGTTGTTTAATTGATTTAATTGGAGATATTGACTCATAACGTTGTTTAATTGATTTAATTAGAGATATTGACTCTTAACGTCAGTTTGTAATTATTGTTACTTGCCTGACATTATAAACAGTATTTCACTTTGTAATAGAGAAATAGTTACAACATACTTGTTCTTGTTGCGAGGTTGAAATAATAATAATAGAATTAAAGAACGAACCCTTACAACACAGGTCACAACGGGAGGCCATGGCTCTTCTAGATCCGCCACTGGATAGCCATAATAATGGTGATGATGTTATAAAAAATCATCAAAATTGTCACTAGACAAGTGATAAAACTATCCTAACATGCAAAAAATTTGATAAACTTTGATGCTTTAAAAAGCAGTCCCAATACATATATTAATATTAATAATAATAATAACTAATTAATTATAATAATAATCATAATGACAACTACAAAAGTATTCAAATAATAATCATAATAATAACAAAGTTTATTGTTTGTTCGAGCAAGGCGTTACTTGGGAAAAACTAGCAAACGTTCAATAGCAAATGTCCAGTTTTAAGCTATTTTTGAAAAACCATGAGTATAATAAATTAAATGATTTTATGAAATAATGAATAATTTTAAGTTTATGATGATATTTAGTAATAATTGTGAGTTGGTTCGCGTCAGGGTTAGAATTAGGGGTCAGAGAACGTTAGTTGAACAAACGCTGACGTGGACAAGTGAAATCTTTAACATTTATCTCAAACCTAAGACTTGCTGCTGATTTTAGATTAATTGAGATTTTTAAACACGAACGGCTCAAACAAATTTTTCAAGATAAAATTTACTTTAATTTTAAATAAACTTAATTATGAAATAAAAACTTAATTATATGATAAAAAAAAATTTTGAAAGCTGTAATGGATAAATAAATCAATAAGGTACTCGATCGACCTGTTTTTCTGAGTAACTGATCTGATCGACAGCATGTATATTATTCTTCAAAAGTAATTTTTAAATATTTTCTATGTTTTTATTTATATCTTATATTTATTAATATAAATAATTATATATTTATTATTTATTATATTTTACGTGTAT